AAAGAATTCAGAAGTACTTGAAAGACGTTAACTCAATAGGAATTCATAATTTTTCCTTAGGAAGCTAGTCTGCCTACGACGGCTCCTGTCCTTTATGTCCTCCTCAGCGTCGCGTTTAAGCTCCTCTCCTAGCCTACCTGTGAATACTCCATTCTCCCCGGCTACCCTCTTTCCTGTGACATCCTCCCCCCCTTAGTACGTACTCCCTTGGGTCCTTCCTCATGCGCAACCTTGCAATTATCCTTATGCAACACTTAGATCCCTCTTTGTGCGTATTCTTGCATTCTTCCCCATGCAACCTTTCGCGTCTCTGTAAGCGCTGCTTTGTTGGCGCTTAAAGATCTAGCCGGGTTGGCTCTAGTGACCAGTCCCAATCCGGGCACAGCCCGTAACACAAGGGCTGTGTTGATTAGGCAGTCAAAAGCGTAGTTGAAAATGTGTTTCTCTAAGCAATTGTTAGAATAAGTGTCACAGTTTGAATACATAAAGCAATTGGGAATTTATATGATTGAAAGGTAAAGCTATAATTCATCTATGGAGAAGCAAACTACCTGCAAGTCTCCTGTACTACTTGCACGTCCAGAGGTATCTAAATCTCGACTATGTTTACAGTGGAGATGAAACTGACTAAAGGTTTGATCTACCACACAGGTAATGTTTCCGTTACTCTTGGCATTATCCTTTACATAGCTTCGGTGGCAATTACGTAGCTATTTAAGTCTGCTGGTTATCCTCGGAGTGATAGAACATTTAGGTTGCCCTCTATAGCTATCAAAGGCTACAGGACTTATTGGATCACAAGCCATCACAATAAGTGTTACGGTTTGACCGTGGTTTAGCTTAGGCGGAGACTTAAGCGGAGTTTGGGGGCGTATTTGGGAGAGTGTTACACATTATCTTGTATCAAGCGACTTAGTTTCACTTGGCCACATTACATTAAAGCTAGGAAGGAATGTGAGACGGCGTAGTAGAATTGCCAAGTGAGAGAGTCAGCTAGATGGCAAAGATGTTGACGGGCAGTGGCAAAGCAATATGTCATTCTCACCAACAGAGTACGTATTGGATGAGCTAGAAGGATGTACAAATAGTCATTGCCCGTAGTTGTGATACTTCTCTCTTCATATAGTTTAATCTTTCTAAAAGTACACTACAACCAGCTTGGTTTTGTCACAATAAGACTATTGGATCATATTTCATGGCGAGCGGGGTAATGAGGATAGACAGACTAATCTATTACGAGCTTGCCCCACTGCTCCTACAGGGCTTATCCCTTAAGCAGCCTAGTGTCAAGCTTAACAATTCGGATGCTAGAGGCACTGTACATGAAAGCGGAATTTTCCGCACACTACAGTTAGATCCCTGTTAATATGATGTAATTGGGGCTGTGAAAAATATCGTTATACTGTTAAATGACAAGGTTTGTCTAGCTGCTACAGGGGCAATCCGAGTCAGGCAGAGTCAAACACATGAGTCGCGTCAATTACGCTATTCATGCAGATCAGTCGCGTGGAGGAAAATTAGTACTTAGGAGTCTGGCTGTCTCCATCTTAGTATACTTTTAGTTAACTCGAATATCTGATTCTATCTGACCTCAATCCACTGTGCTAATTCCATCGTCTTCTATACAGTCATACTGCAACAGAAGTCCTCCCAAATTAATATATACAGAGGAGATTATTTATAAGGATATGATTATCTAATCCAGCTATCTAGGCTACTTTGTACTTTTGATGCCTCATTTATAATCCCAATTGCCGTCTTTAATTGCTCTAAAACTCTCAAGGTCAGGCCAGTTTCCAGCTTGCTGTTATAGCAAAGTAGTACTTGTAACTTCGTCGAGATTTGCAAAGGTAATGCTCAAGAACTCGGAGACTGTGGACTGGCTTAATATATAGCCGTACTCAGCAAAGACCCACTCAATGCCCTGTTTTTGTGTTGGTTTTGGGACCTGGCGGTGCGCCCATTGTTGCAGAGCACATTGTTGCTCTACAGAAATTCCCTTTTTTGGCCGCATTGTTAACACCAATCTTACCTGGTTACAACAATATTCAGAGGTTGAAGAACAATAATCAAGTTATTGGTAAATGTATGGGAACAAAATTTAAAGGACGTATATAGAATGTAATATAAGTTAATTGATATGTAAGTTACAGGTATAAGAATGGCTAGTATACAACGCTAGAAAGTAATGTAAATGCTACAGGATAAAGTCATGTGACATAAAACAGCGTAAGGCTGACACTTCAACAACTGTTGTGTTATCCATGCAACTTACCATGGTACATGCTTTAGGTCGCGTCATAGCATATGCACGTGACTGTGGAACTAAACCGTGGGGTGTTTAGTGTGTAATGCATGTGTGATGCATGTGTGGGTATACTGGAACAAACTAGAACTAGATGGAATAGAGATAACGGAATCAGCGAGAGACTGATGGACTGAGAGAGAACGACCTGGTCATTTCTCGTAGGAGAGAAATGATATCATAAGGGAATGTTCTAGCACTAGGCTGTGAACAACACAGTAAGTCTAGAGCAAGATATAAGGAGGTCTCAACCTCCGTCCATTCATTTGTAACTAAGTTTCCTTTATACGAGAATATAGAGTCAAGTCTTACATATCACGAGAACACATGCGACAGCGACTATAGAGACCTACTGTGAGCATAACTTCCCCAATAGTATCCATCGTCCTGCTCCCATATAGCCTAGTTATTATAACAACAACAAATTCTGTTCCGGAAAATATATTGTATGAATGGCACTTTCTGCTTAACCATGATCGGCTTTACAGGGGTCTTACTGTAGTGCCATGGGTGACATATAAATAAATTATTCATTATCCCGATTTGGCGCCTTGAGGCCCATGTGTGGATCCTGAAAAGATCTACATTGTCACAGGCTGATCAGATATTGGATGTACAGCACATAGACAAAATGCTAGTGCCTTGTGATCTCATACAATTAGATTGCACAGTCACAAGATGTCAGATTAGAGTCTAGACGTTTGAGCTGGAGCGAATTCGAAGGGCTAGGAGAGGTTAAATGGACGGCGAAAGATGACTGAAGGTATACTAGAGATAATTTGGAGGAAATTGAGGTTTGAAAGATGGTTAATATAAGTATTTAAAAGGTCTAAAGGTTCGAGAGGGTACTAATGATAACTAAAGGTACTAGAGGTGACTATAGGTGACCAGAGGTGATCCGAAGGTGGTGGTTGTGACAGAAGACTAAGCGTAAAGAACTCTATGGCTACAGACAAAACCATTGTATATATACCTGCCCTCCTTCCACTAGCTCATCATAACATAGACCTTAACATAATATCAACATGATACCATGTGCCAAGAACTGTCCTGTTGTCATAGCAATATATGAAGAAAGGTAAAATTATATTCTAAATAAAGGATCGGAAGAGGAATCCTTACACAAGAGCAGATCTCACTGGAGCTGAGGGGCAGTAGATTTTTGATGTATATAGGCGCATAGATATCCCACATTTAGGGGATATAGAATTCACGTATTAGTCTCAAGCTCTACAAAAGATCCATTGTAGTTAGGAGCCACAAGAAGCCACTTGACAACATTTCATTCTTGTACACATCCCCAACATTTACTTGGTACACACCCACGTCGGGCAGTTTTTCTAGACTGAGGTAGCTGGCATGTGGCCTTGGGGAACGTGTTGTGTGCTGGCACGACGTTAAATAACAAACATACAAGGTACACAACGCACGCCCAGAAACCTCCCATGCAGGGTTTTGTTGGAAGATATGTACTTTAAGTAGGATGACTAAATTTGACATTTAGGACACTCATACTCAGACTTTGTAAGCAGATACCACTCGTGATTAACCCTTACTGTTAAATTATAAGAAGGGTTGGTCAAACATAATCATCCCTACAATTTAACATAATGAAGTTAGGGTTGTGGTTATTGGTTGCCTAGGAGTTAAAAAGGGTAAGGCGTCTGTTGATTTTATATACCCTGTATTAGTAGTTTCATATTAGCGTGTGGATGAGACTAGGAGCAATAGATTAGAGGGTGCGAGATCGCGATACTTCTATTAAGCGGGTAGGCGTAGAGACGAAGATACACGCAACAATTTAACCCTATACTTTATCAAATCTACTTCCAAATATTCCAGTAACAGTACTACTGTATTACCCGTCCAGAGGAATCATATTCTAACACTTACGGCATATAACCTCTTCCATACATATCTACCACAGGGATAAGCGTGAAAACCCTGTGGCTATCCGAGTGTGCTTTCATCATCCCATAAGTACAATATCACTGCAAGAGAGAGTGGTGCGTGAATTTTACTGGATTCGCACCAGCTTTCTCCTGTTTCGAATGGGGTAGGTGTTCAAGCTACCCAGTATCTACTTGGGAGAACGGCCCGAATGGTGTATCACTGCACCATCCAACCCGATGGGTGACAAACACTTTGCACGTAATCAACAGACGAAAAAGTCATGTATCCTGACAACCTGAATCAGGTATCAGATGATTTACACACTACACACACTCCTAATACAGTGGCTGGCATTATAACACGTATCTCGATCCACACAGGCAATCGAGATCTGTAGAAATATAGGAACATCTCATCTCTAAGTTAGTATAAAGTAGGGAACTCAATTAGAATGGGAAGTACCTGCTTAGCCTTATAAAATTAAGGGGACTCAGTGATAGTTACACACCGAGATGTACCACTTTGTTTTTACAACATTACAATTTTGCCTCCTGTTCTTGGATCCATCAACTCCAGTCCTAATTGCTTTGAAGTGGTATGTTGCAAGAGTTTAACAACACCTATGGCAACTCCCATGTGATTATCATTTTTACACATAGAAGTCCAAAAATATGCATTTGTTGATAAAATTTATCTAAACAAATCTATGGCTATCTCATTTATGAAATAAAGTCTCTAGCTTGTGTGGCCATTCATACAAGGGCATCATTTTCAAAGAATTGAAGCTCTTAGACTGAAACTATCAAGTCAATGGTTCACATCTCTCTATCTGGTCGCTTGCCACTTGTTGATTACCTTGAAGCGGTTGGGTAATTGTAGCACCATAATAGAAAACACAGTGTTCATTAACAGCAAGGTAGTGTTTGGATGGGATATCTTTTGCCAGTTTAGTTTTTGAATCATAGAAAATATAGAGCTATCAAAGGCTGAGTAACTGACTGTAATGCATTGTACCACCCGATGATATGGTAGGGAGATTTATTAAAAATAATATGAGCCCAGTTCCAAGGCCGAAAGTCTGTCTTGGGTAGCTATGATGATTTAGACCATACAAACCTTGCGCTTGAGAAGAGCAAAGCGTATTGAGATATTGCTCGAGGTTCTGGCCAGAATATTCAACGCCATCACAATTTATTCCGTTACTTAATATACCCATTCCATTGACTTCATGCACAATGGTGAAAGCGATTAAAGCGAGGTATTTCAATGGTGTCATGTCGGCGAGTTTGAGTTTTAATGAATAAAAATGAGGAGGGAAATCTTTTTCTTTTTGCTAAGTGTTGTATGTTTCTCTGCTCACTCGAGTGTACACCGGCTTGATTTATTGAGCCAGATGAAGCGCGGTCATCGCCATTATTTATATAGGAAAGCTGATGCTAAGTGTGGAGTGAGAACTGATGCATTCACTTTGTTTATATTTCCCACTCTATGGTCATCTCGGCGAAGATTCTGACTCGAAAGTGCTTTGGAAGTAATAATGGATACGCCCTGGCGGACGAGGGTGGAGTTGATTGTCACGGAATCCCACGAATAAGATTAGGTGGAGATAATTGATCCCTTGGTAATCTTGAATCTTATTAAAAACTTAGTCCTTGTATTGTGTAATGATCACTTTAAGGAGTTCTAATATAAAACATGGAAGGTAGACTTGTCTATGAAATCAACTCGTTTGAGGTGTAAAATAATTTTCCATCAAAAACGGATCCAACACTCGAGATTTACATCTTGAGTGAGGGTCCGTGCATGCTAACAAAAAAACCCAATAACCACGTGATAAAAAAGCTAATTGTACAGGGTATCTTGCTCTCCGGTTCTCCTAACTCCTGGCTAATGATGACAACTCAGACCCATAATAAGGGTCATGAGGATCCTGGAATTGCAATGCATTAGACTTATTTCTCAACAAATCTTGCATTTATTCCAACTACTATTGGCCATTGTAGTCACTAACTTCGCTCGAGATGGAAACCGGAATTCAAGCTCTATCCTCGACTGTAATTCCTGATCCAAGTGCAACAAAGTAAGAGTTTCGCTGCCCTGATAGGCCCCCTCAACAATTTGCAATCATGCATAATGAGAAGTTTTCAGTTTCCAGCTCACGCATCCCAATCCGAGAGAGTTTAAATAATAAGCAAAGTGTTAGAAGCTGATACTGATGTCTATTGAGGCACCACCGCAATATTTTGGTCTATGCAAACAACTTTAGCGGCGACGAGTTAGCTGTTACAATGTATGAAACAGAACTCTGCAAATGAAAGGCAGTGGATCGCATTGTCCCAATTGTGGCGCCCCGACATTTTATTGGCCACGTCGTTGTTGGTCCAATAGTTGGTAAGCCGACACAGGGCCAATCCAGGAATACCAATGACTAGTTTCACACACACGAGTCTTGTGTGTGACAAATCACGATACGAAAGGTTTGTCATGGATATTGGTTTTCATGCAAAACCCTTGGGTTGTAGGTAATGAGGGACAGGAGGTTTCGTGTTGGCAAGTTTATTTCAACAGTTGAACCTCCTATGTACATATACAAATTCATATCCTCCTAGATACTTTTCTCTTTAGTTTAGAATCTTATGATTTGAATCCACGCCAGCTTTTGATCACTCGCCAATCGTCTTTTGTCTCTCGAGTTTCCACACCAATAATGCAAATATCGGGTAGATGTCTATTTAGACTATGTAGGTACAATGTGGAGATCCATTATCTAATTTTTATATCATAGCGTATTCAGCTATCTAGCTATGACACGAGTTTTACATGAACTCTTCATAAGGAGAATAGTATCCGATACGGAGGAGAGGTCTTAGACGCAGAAATCACAGGAGCCCTGAAGGATCTTGAGGCGGCGCTGACAATGAAAGAAGCGCAACAGCAGATGGGAAAGACAATACGGCGAGTGAATATGTTGCTGGATAGTCAGCATGCTGTAAAAGCATTTGAGACGGGCATCCCTGAAACCAGCCTCGAAGGGGTACGTCGGTTTTGCATACTCTCAGCGTCAGCTGTTGTGACAATTGAGTGGATCCCCGGTCACCCTGGAATACAAGGGGACTAAGAAGCAGACGCATCTGCGCGCCTCGGCTTATGAATGCTTCCCAGTCCGGACAACCAACCAGGATCTATTTTGTTAGCATACCTTCGCCGTCTCATGAATAATTGGTTACAGCTTTTGCTCGGCAATTGGTGGGATAAAGCGAACCCTGCTCGGTATTGAAAGCTTGATCTGCTCATGAAACAGCGCAAGACCCCTGAGCTAGCCCTATCAAGGCATCTACTCTGCGAACTAATTACAGCCCGTACGAGATACAGCAAGAAGGGCAAGACTGAACACCTGTACGCAGTATCATCCACGAATCTGGGAGTGAAATATTCTCCCAGAGCCAAGTTTAGTCGAATTTTGCAATACCAAACAAGTTGGCCCACGAGGCAATACTTCAAACTACTCCACCACATCAAATCCTCACTCCCAAAGAGTCCGATTCCTACCCAAGGCTCATAAAGTCTACAAGTACGACCTAGGACATCTTCATTCCAATGATCACACCTCTTGTCGACTTTCTCTGGCCTCAGCTGGTCATCAAATACACGCCCACGCCAATATTCACACCCGACAGAGGACACAAAGCGTGGCGCACAAATCTGGGAGACAGTTCTTTGGGATTGGCGTGAGAGGATTCAGGACAAGTATACAAGATGATGCGAAGGATGGATACAGTCTCGATGGGCGTGGAATTTTGAATTTTGGCAAGAGTTTTACAAATTGAGCTTTGTGCATGCCAAGACTTCGGTTGCGAGAGTGCAGGCGACACTATAAACACCGCTATGGTTGGATGGTGCAATGGTACATCGTCTTGGCCGGTCTGCCAAGTAGAGTCTGGATAGCTTGGAATCATATCCCAATCAAGACAGTAGATCGCTGATTCAAATCCAGCAAAAAACAACCACATTTCTCGCAGCGTTGGTATGCATAGATAACGAAGGCCTGCTTGGATAATCAAAGGTTTTTAAATTCCCTTTGGTGGGTACTTACGGAGGAGGGTCGACTGTTTGTGTAAGCAAACATAACTCATAGTGATATTTGCAAATGAAATCCAGAGAATGAGTGTCTATAATGTCAAAATAGTCTTCCAATATTTATAGATAGCAGCGGTCATGTGTCATAGCTTTATAGCTGAATACACATTAAATGATTTTTAAAAAATGAAAAAAATGAGACACGGCAATTTTGCGGCCTATAATTGCTGATTCAACAATGCAGACGCACCTAGTGAGTGTGCGTGTGGGAAAGAGACTAGTCCAACCCATTTTATACACAGCTGACTCTATTCTGACGAAACACATTGAATCCGAGGTCCAAAGTCCCACAATGTTACTGTTTGACCATTGTTTTAGCTTAGGCAGATAACTAAGCCTAATATTGAGAATTCTTACCATGGGGCTGTGTGGGGGGGAGATGAAGCTGAATGAAATGGGACTACTAGTCAGGAGGCTGAAGCGTTATTACAGTTTAGTGACACCTGGAAATACGTGGCTGGGTAAGAAGTATTGTGCCTAAGGACAAGTCACTAGTCTGTAGATTCATGATGAGGTTCAACTCTTACAAATACCTGTTAGTAGTAGCTAGAGTTCCCTTTTCTCCTCATATAGTTTATTAAATCGATTTATTCATCACCAACTTGGTTTCTGTCACAATATAAAATATATCATTCAAATCCTTTGCTTGTCATGAAGTATATGTTACGGGCTTAAGGACACTAGGATAGGTTTCCTGGACGAGGTCTGGAGACCAGTTAAGTAATGTCGATCTCAGATAACACTAATATTACCCCTGTAAAATATTTTCACAGTGTAAACCTTTACCTACACTGTAGAGAAATCTTTTGGATATCATTGTTGTAGATAATCAGAATAGACTTCATTTGATTGATCAGATCAAAACTCATTTCGTGACAGTACATCGCAGTTGTAGATAATTGTAATTTAGGGCATCTTTAGTTGTTGGTTTCAACGCACAGGGATTCTATAAATCAATAATGGGTTCAGAAATGAACGATTTTATTATTGGAACGGACTTCGTGACAACTGGTTTATCGAACCAGGAATCTATGCCACATTCTCAAGGCGAGGATAGGACAGTGTTCCACAGGGTGCGTATGTGGTCTAACGAAGATCTAGGTTGTAGATGAAGGTGATGAGTGGGTCGAAGGGATGACTGGTCTTCTCTAGGAAGAGACAAATAGGTAGATAGTAGCGATAGAGGCTACACGTGGGTCTTGCTGATAAAGAGCTGGAAATAGATAAATGGTCTTCCCGAAGAAGAGATGGGTAAACAAATGTATTTTTAAGTTAATTGAAGAAGACGTTGCGTGAAGAATAATGCTCCTTCACGCCGAGTATTTATATACATAAAATTACCAAATAGCACGTAACACACAGCCCCTATGCCCAACAATCTGCTACTCATCACCTAATGAAACCAGCCCATTCTTATCAGTCTTCCTTGCTGGTTTTAGAAGTGCATTGAACAATTATTTGTGTTTTAACTTAGCCGTCTACATGGCGTTTCATAATACGCTATACCACAATGATCCATGAAACACATGGAGAAATTGAATCGGAAATGCAGAGACTGGTCGAAGAAATGAGATTAAGAGGAATGGAACACCGAAGAGACCTTAGGACTCTACGATCTCAGATGAACGAAATGATGAAAACAATTCAAGAACAATCTGAGAATGAGAAAAAACACCTGCAACCTTCAGAGGGCTAATTTAGGAGGCCAATCAAATTGCAGAAAGTATTTTATTGAAAAGGTGCCTGTTATGCTTTCAGTACAAAATGCTAAGGTGATCTTGTGATTACAGTATGTGAATTATAGTTCTCTTTCCAGAGAATTTCTCAATCTAAAGACTACATATATATACATTCTAAATGACTGCCCTTCAAGAAGATTCTCCCTGTGACCAGAATTGTTGATACTCTTCTACAACTACCTAGAAGGTTCTCGGTAAACCTGTTATCCTCATGAACCTTCAATGTGTTTCCAGAAGGTTTACTCAGAATATTCGAAGTTCTATGGCTTCCGAGACCTTCCCCAAATATTCCCCTTGTATCATAGCCTGCGCTAGCCAGCTTAGGCTATAGGAGTCTTTCGGCTTAACAGCTGTCATAGTGACCCTAAAATAGCCAGAGGCGTACGATCACAAGGATAGA